GGTCTCTCTCTAGTCTCTCTCTCTGGGTCTCTCTCCAGTCTTTCTTTCTGTTCTTACTCTAGACTCGCTCTAGTCTCTCTCTCTCTCTGGTATTTCACTAGCCTTGCTCTGGTCTCTCTCTCGTCTTTCTTTATGTTCTCTCTCTAGTCTCTCTCTCTGGTCTCTCTCTGGTTCTTTCTCGAGTTTCTGGTTTCCCTCTGATCTCTCTCTAGTCTCTCTCTTTCTGGGTCTCTCTCTATTTTGCTCTGGTCTCTCTCTACTCTCTTTTTAGTGTCGCTCTGGGGCTCTCTCCAGTCTCTCTCCCCGGTCTCTCTCTGAGTCTCTCTCTGGTCTTTCTCTCTGGTCTCTCTCTAGTCTCTTGCTCTGGGTCTCTTTCTAGTCTCTCTCTGGTCTCTCTCTCTAATCTCTCTCTCTCTGGTCTCTCTCTAATCTCTCTCTCTCTGGTCTCTCTCTATCCAGGGTTTCTCTCTCTGTTGTGATTTAGGACAATACAAGAATCGACACAGGACCATATCGTGTCTTGTTCCAGGTCAGGTCCATGGAAAGGAGAGCCATAGAAAAGTGTCAGACGAGAACTAAATCACACACCGATTTCTTTATAAGACATCTCTGTAGGTCATGAGCGCTGACCTCCCAGCAGCCATCGCAAAAGCCGAGAGAGCCCTGGAACTCTTCTTAGTCCGAGGAGGATTCAAGGGCACTGCAGGAGATCAGGGACTGACCTTGTACCGTCGCTGCACATACAATCCAAGAGGACAGCGCGGCTATATTTACTATTTTCAGAGCGAGGTTGGCGTACCGCTGGGCCAAAAATAGTTTCATATAAGATTTTCACAACATAACGACACACACTGGCTGCAGGATGCGACACGAAAACAATATCTCCACTCATGGTATTTACTCACTGCAGCGGTCAGAACCATCAATAAATATGTACATGAAATAAAAGGAAACGGATTAATGTTGGATAATGGCACTTCTTACATTTGCATCTCATTTACATAATTTAGTCTTAGTATTTCTTGACCTCAAAATACATTTAAAGTCTGGTCTCGCTCTCCGGTCTGACTCTTCGGTCTGGCTCTCTAGTCTCTCTCACTCTGTTATCTTTTTGGTCTCTCTCTAGTTCCTCGCTCTGGTCTCTCTCTAGTCTCTTTCTGGTCTCTCTCTGGTCTCTCTCTCTAGTCTCACTCTGGTCTCTCTCTAATTCCTCTCTCTGGACTTTCTCTAGTCTCTTTGGTCTCTACAGTATCTTGTCTCTCTCTAGTCCCTCTCTCTAGTCTCTCTCTGGTCTCTCTCTGGTCTCTTTCTGGTCTCTCTCTGGTCTCTCTCTCTCTAGTCTCTCTATGGTCTCTCTATAGTCTCTTTCTGGTCTCTTTCTGGTCTCTCTCTAGTCTCTCTCTAGTCTCTCTCTAGTCTCTCTCTGGTCTCTCTCTGGTCTCTCTCTATCTAGTCTCTCTCTAGTCTCTCTCTGGTCTCTCTCTGGTCTCTTTCTGGTCTCTCTCTCTAGTCTCTCTATGGTCTCTCTCTGGTCTCTTTCTGGTCTCTCTCTCTAGTCTCTCTATGGTCTCTCTATGGTCTCTCTCTCTCCAGTCGTTTTTTTCATATTTTCTTTCCCCCCTTGCACTTGAAACTGAGTCATGGTTTTCCGTTCGTGACCAGACTCAGAAAGAATAAGTCTCTAATGGCTGAAACCCCATCTGTCAGTCCATTTCAGGAGCAAACAGTACATTTATATGAAAAATAAAACACACAGCGACTTTATTCAAATACACAATACAATACAATACAATTTATTCTTGTATAGCCCTAGGTCACAACAGAAGTCATCTCAGAGGACTTAACAAAACCATTGAAATCACCAACACAGGTCAGAGAATTAACAGTTAAAACACATGAAGAATATAAATCACACACAGAAGAAAATGTCCATACATGTTGTAGAATGCTAAAGTGTCCTGATCATCACCAATCCTTTCTGTTGGACACTAACTGTCCAAGACCCTCCTGCATCGACAAGGAAAAACTCTTAAAAAACCCAGTGGGAAAAAGTGAGAAACCTTGGAGGAGAACTAGGGAAACCCACAGGGAGGGAGACCCATATGAGAAAGGGATCCGCTCCTCCGGACGGACAGGCTAATGATCTAGGACCTAAGCTAGCTACAGAACGTGGACCAGTGGACGCTGAACGTGGACAGGTCCGGTGCAGGACTGAAGCACTCCCAGGCGGGTCGGGCGGGGCAGTCCGCAGGTGTAGATGGAAGAGGCCAGGCTCAGAGATCCCGTCATCGTACCATGAAACAGACAATGGGACAACGGGTGAATAGCAATGAACAAACTACAGTCAGAATCCTAAAAATGCTAAACAGATAAAGTAGGAAGGAGGAGAGGATAGTGCTCAAGTTACCATACTTCTCCCAGCAAACTGACTCCCTATGCAGCTTGACTGACAGTCTGAGGAGTTTAACCTTCTCCGAGTCTTACCTTCCTAGCCATATGCTAAACTAAAGAGGACTGTTTTAAACCTAGCCTTGAATAAAGAATAACATACAGCATAATATATAACATAATATACAACATAACACAATACATTATTGAATAATATATAACATAATATATAACATAATCCAGCATATATATATAATATATACACTACATATTATATATTACCTAATTATATGCTAAATTAAAGTAAAGTGCTTTAAGCCTGGCCTTGAATGTGGAGACCGTATCTGCTTCCTTAACATAAATGGGAAGCTGATTCCACAGTAAAGGAGCTTGGTAGCTAAATGCTCTGCCACCAACAGTGACCTTTGAGACCTTAGGGACCACCAGACGTCTGGCGTTTTGTGAGCGCAACGCTCGACCTGGTTGATACGACACTAACGTGTCTTGGAGATAAGAAGGAGCCAAGCCATTTATGGCTTTATATGTTAAGAGTAGGATTTTAAACTTTATTCTGTACTCCACAGGGAGCCAGTGGAGTGATTTTAACACCGGAGTTATGTGCTCCCTCCTTTTGGTACCTGTTAAGATCCTAGCTGCTGTATTCTGAACGAGCTGGAAGCTCTTTAAAGAGGCTTTAGGGCACGCTGCCAGTAAAGCGTTACAGTAGTCGAGCCTTGAGGTGACAAACGCGTGAATGAGTTTTTCCGCGTCACTTTTAGGAAGGAAATTCCTAATTTTAGCGATGTTCCGTAAGTGGAAGTACGCCGTTTTAGTTGCTTGGCTTATATAAGCCTTGAAGGAGAGTTCTTGGTCAAAAATGACTCCAAGATTCCTCACAGTGTTACTGGGTATTATACTGACATTATCGAGAGTAACCATCTGGTTAGTGAGGGAGTCACGCAGGCGCTTCGGACCGAGTAGGATCACTTCTGTCTTCTCCGGGTTGAGAAGTAGGAAGTTAAGAGTCATCCACATTTTAAGGTCCTTTATGCAGGCACTGAGCTTTTCTAGCTGATCTGTCTGATTAGGCTTCATCGACAGATAAAGCTGTGTGTCATCTGCATAGCAGTGGAAATTAATTCCATGCTTTTTAATAATGTTTCCCAGTGGCAGCATGTAGAGAGTAAAAAGAATCGGTCCGAGTACCGAACCCTGCGGCACACCGAATTCTACTCCAGAATAAGGCGACGAGTCCTGATTCACATTGACGAAGTGATATCGATCTGATAAATAGGATTTAAACCAGCCAAGGGCTGTTCCTCTAAGACCTATATCACATTCTAGCCTCTGCAGTAGAATGCTGTGGTCTATTGTGTCAAATGCAGCACTAAGGTCCAGTAGGACCAGCACTGACACTTGTCCATTATCGGCAGCTAGTAGTAAGTCATTTGTGACTTTGACTAGTGCCGTTTCAGTGCTATGATGAGCTCTGAATCCTGATTGAAAGACTTCAAACATATCATTTTCCTGCAGGTGGCAGCGGAGCTGCTCAGCTATAAATGAAGTCGGTACGGTGGCTGGCTGGATAGCACTCTCGCTGTTCAACAAGAATGTTTGGGTTTGAATCCCGGGAGGAACAGGGACTTTCTAAATAGAGTTTGCATTAATAAAACATTGTCTTCTCAAATACTTCTTTAACTGATAACAGTAGTTCAGAGATATTTGAATTTCTAAATTAGTTTTACAGTCCCTAAATCTTGTTATTGTTTTCAATTTCCCGCCCTCCACTGTTTCACCAATCAGAAAGTCTGTGATCTGGGACCCAGAACTCACCGCGTGGAGCTAATCTCACTGGTAAAGTACCATGTGGCGCAGAACTAAAAGAGGTCTCGTTATGATTCTCAAATCCTTAACGACAAAACAAGAAATAAAACCAGGATTTGTATATTTGTGAAAAAGGTGTTGGTTATAGATTTGTTGTTGACAAAACTCTTGTCTATTCATCTGTTACGGTCCTAGCTGGATTCGTCTGCATATCTGGCAACCTGAGTCAGGGAGAGTGGGAGAGACTGCAGTACCACTTTTGACCAGATTTTTTTTTAACATAGTGTTCTTTTAAGTAAGATTTCTTGCCAAAACCGCTGAATCAAACAAACCAACAGAATGATTTCTTCATCATGAGAAGGCAGACAGGTTGACAGCTCTCTCTTCAGCCCAAGGATAAGAAAACCCTGGTCAATAATGCAACACATCCACAACATCATTCCCATGTTCTTACCTGTGTTTTTCTCTAGTCCAGCGCCTCTGTCTTGTTCAAACACCGTGAGCCCAGTGACATTTAGTCTTTTTGGTCCTTCGGGAGGATCCTGCGGCAGCTCCGATCAAACAGATTTGGATGGTAACACAGTCGACATCTCCCTCTCGGCCCCAAACTTCATTACAAGTCACTGCACATAAACAAGAAACGTGTCGATCAGCGCCGCCAGCCCGAGTGTCTGCACCTGAGGGAACGCACAGTCCTCAGCAGTGCGTCCGTACATCCACGCTCAGTCTTAATGAGAGCGTAATGGAGCCATGAATCAGAGGGAACAGGAGGCAGCGGAAACAAGGAGATGGGAGCTCTGTGGCCCTCAGCGACGGAGCCAGCGACGGAGCCAGAGACGGAGCCAGAGACGAGGTACAGTCACTGACAGTCGGGCTGGAAAAGTTTACACAGTTGTTGATTAAAAGAAAAAAAAAAATCTCATCTTATTGTTGGTGGTTGTGTGAAGCCAGAAATGACACAATGGAGCTACACACTGCAAAGACTGAAGAAAAATGGGTCAAAAATTACTCAAATTTGGCAAAATGTATCATAATTTGAGCACATTCTGAGCTTTAAAACAAGAAATGGGTTCTTTATTTTTTCCTGAAATAAGACTAAATGACTTATTGACTAAGTGATAAAAACCACTACATTTAAGCAATTATTACTTCATATATTATCACTTTTGCAGTGTATAACCAAACTCCTACAAATTGCTACTTACAACTTTTCTCAGTCGCTTTGGTGCATTTCTTACATCAGACTTAAAGTTCTCAAAAATATTAGTTCAACCTCCACAGCATTGAGTCATGTGTGACATCGCAGCAGTTTCTCCTTTGAACACTTTACAAATGCTTTTGGACATGTATCAGTTACTTTTATATCATTATCATTTGCTACTGCTCTGTCAGTCAGAATGAAACATACTTATAGTCGTTCCTAAACTGATTGTCCTAATTTCATCGCTGTGGTCGTCACATGAAAAATTGTTGAACTACTTCAAAACCAATATCTGTCAAGCTAATTTCATACATTCCTTTGTTTTTTTCTGAAAATCTTTCCTAAACTGAATAATTTATCTAGGGTGAATTTCAGCTTTTACTCATGAGGAGGTGTGTGTTTCATTGTTTACATTTGTCACAGTTCTACCATAATTCTATTCTGTATGTTTGTTCTATGTAAATACTGTGACTGACTGTATCTTTGTTGCACAATGCTGTAGAATTGAAAAGAGCATAAGCAATATATACTGTATGTGAAATACATACAGTACACAGACATACATACATATACATACACACATACAGTACATACATACATACATACAGTACATACATATGTGTCTTGTACTTAGTTACTTCACTAAATACAGTCATGTGTAACTTTACTGTTTTCGGCTGTACAGGTCGTGTTTAGTGCTCACCAAGTGTCACCGAGATCTGACTTTTTCACATTGAAAACACAGAGAGTAAAGTGTCACAATGAAAACGTGACTAAGTCATTTGTGTTGTTCATACTCACTGTTGTCAGGACTTATTATTCTGAGACACAGACAGTTTCATTGACATGAAGACTTGCTTTTTCAGGAATTAACTTTTCATTTTGAGAAGGTGACGCGCTTTTGCAGGTTATCCACAGGGTTTTGCAGTTTGCACTAATTGTTCTGAAAAATGCTCTAACTGTTGTGCAAATGTGAAGAATGATGTGAGAAATGCATCAAAGCGACAGAGAAAAACTGTAAAGTGACCTCCTGGTTCTATCCAGGTCGAGCTGGTACCAAAGTGTTCTAACTGGCAGAGATTGGCCAGAGTGCTGCTGGAAGCCATGGTTACCAAGGAATTTCCTGGCATACTGGTGTATTGTGGGTAGGTTTAGAGGATACGATTCCAGATTCCATAGCTTTAGGGACGAGGACATTTATCAACATTAAAATAGACAGTGTCCATCCCGCACCCTTTGGACCAATGGCTCTTAGCTATTATTGTACTTCCTCTGTTCAAACTGATTCTCTGATCTGTTGTTGAGGAATCGGCAACTTCACACAATCCAGAGCTTTGCCCAAATACATTGGAAACCTGTGAATTTACAATGAATTTTGAACCGCTGCTTTGGTCGTCTCTCGTGCTGTGAAAGGGCGCAGATTTCGCCGGATAAGGGTTCAACCTGTGACGCAGCAGAAGAGCAAGGGCTTATGGGAAAATGACCCCCCATCGTCAGGGCAACATCTGATTCAGAGAGAGCAGCCAATTACAGCCATCGCATCACGGTGACCACGACACACTGCCTGTGGAGCGAGAAAGAGGAGGAGATGCATGGCTTTTTTAGTTGTTTGAACCCATAGCCTTTACCAAATGGTTATGATGCAGTTTGATGATAAAAGGGCCTCAAACCAAATGAGAAAAGAGATAGATGTAAGTTCCAAGCTTAAAGGTAGAGAGAGAGAGAAAGAGAGAGAGAGATTCATATGGATATATATATGTGTATTATTTTTTTAATTTAACATTTATAGATAATTATATAAAAATAAATCTTTGGCCTAACTTTACTTCTTATTACATGTTAGTTAAAATTTTAGAACCGACTCAATTAAATGTTATCATCAATGCTGCGAGTTACTGCAATAATGATAATAAAGAATCATTTCAAGGACCACTAAAAATAGTCTTGCGGCCCGGATTTGACCCACGGGCCTGAGTTTGACAGGCCTGGTCTATTCTATGTCACACACCAGTACAATAAACTACAGACCTCTTCTGACCGCTCCTGACCACACAGATGTAGCGTTAAGGACACACACGCCGAAGACTTTAAAGGTCATTGGGTTAATTGTGAAGCGCTCTCTCAGGCTCTCGGTGTGAAGACCTGTCAGAGAGGAGAATGCATCAGCTGCTCGACCCCTGCACAGTCGTAGCTCCATTATCACCCGTGTCTGAGATGGTAATTACACAGAGCCGCGGTGAAGGCTTCCCCCTAAAGGTGTACAGTCAGAGTGATGTGTGTGTGTGTGTGCGGCCCGTTCGCTCCCTTTGGACGTTAATGTGTCGAGTTCACAAGTTCATGGCCTTTGGTGAGAAGACTGCTGTGGTGTGTTGCTCTGGTGTGTTGCTGTGCTGAGCTATATTTGAAGGGCTCGACCACATGTATTAGTAAGGAGAGGACCAGGGGAGGACATCTAAGGAGGTCAGACAGTAGACATGGGGTTAGGGTTCACTGTAGGTACTGTCCGAGGGGTGAGTTTCTCCCCAGAGCCGCAGGAAGGACCCTTCTGGATCTTCAGGAAGGTCTATATCATAAACCTCTGGACACACAATGAACCAAGCCTATTAGTATAATGACATTTTTTTCCCACAACGTTTTTCTTTTGAGTTGTTCTTTGCTGATCCTGGAGGGTCGAATGCTGTGGTCGGGAACTTTTCTAATAATAAAAATAATAATATTAATAATAATGTATCAGTTATGCTTCACATGTCATTATTTATTCATTAGTATTTCCCTACATACACAGTGGTGAAAAACTACTACTGTAGCCACATCAGACTCAAGTCTTTTGCCTAAGGACAAAACCACAATTTGGCACTTTACAGCCGAAGCCACTCCACTGGTGTTTTCAGAGGTCTCCCATCACAGTACTATGAAGGACTTGCCTTGCTTAGCTTCAGTGTTCTGAGGGGATCTAGCTTTCACCTGCAGGTATGGACACACTAGAGCCAAAATATAGTCCCATACATATACAGTATTTCTGTGGGAGCCATAGATATATATTTTTTATTTATTTATAGTGAGATATTAGTAATGCCATGAATAACATTGCACAGTCAGTCAGTCAGTCAGTCCAGTCCAGTCCAGTCCAGTCCAGTCCATCTATGAGGCAGATGATATAGAGGTTACTATTAAATGCACTGGTTTGAACAGAAGAAATAAGCCCGTAATAATAATGCCCAATACTTTTGCAAAAGCAAGATTCAGTTTTTGGCATTTGTCGTAAAATCACGTGGTAAAACCCGGCATCAGAGTTCAGAGCTTGTTTGCTCTTTTACTCGACAGGAATGTGCTGAAAAGACAGAAATCCCCTCTCCTCTTTAGGTGCAGCTCTTTGTACAAGCCTCTGTGACCACACACGTCTCACTGTACAAACCCACGTCCATCTCGGAGCCATTTACTGTCAGAATAGCGGCTCACCGTGGGATCGCCAATTCAGTTCCACTCCAGGACCCCCACCGAGACTGATACAGTATAGCGAGAGAGAGGGAGCCCGATCAGAGGCCAGAGGAGGTCCGCTCGCACCGGGAGAGGGTCTGTCTAACAAGAGGAGGACCATAATGTGGAATATATGAATGGACAGAAGTGGATTTGGAGGATTTGACAGCGCCAGGGCTCAGGGAACGGCTGAAAGTGTGAAAGAATCTTTATGTACGGGCGTGTGGTAGAGCAAATCATGCGCTCCTTTGTCCCAACTCCAGAGGCACTTTGGAACAAAAACAGCTAATAATGAATACATGCTAAAGCTGTATGAACTACTTTTTCATCCAGGCGCTATTATTTATTTTTACCTGAAATTGCACCATGCAGCACTAATGGTATTCTGTCTATGTTTTAATAATAATACTAATGCATCAGTTTTATAAAGCGCTTTGTTGGACACTCAAAGACGCTACATGTCATTATTCATTCACTCCAAACACGGTGGTGATAAACTACTACTGTAGCCACAGCTGCCCTGGGGCACACTGACAGAAGCGAGGCAACCAGTCTGTGCCATCGGCCCCTCCGACCACCACCAACCATTCACACATACACCAGACTCATTCTAGGCAATGGGGGTGAAGTGTCTTGCCTAAGGGCACAACAGCAGTTTGGCACTTTACAGCCGCAGCCGCCCCACTGTGGCATCAGGTGTTCCCGTGTCTTGCCAACGAGAGCAGACAGTGGGAGTCGATGGTGAAAGTCTCTAGGTGGGCTCGAACCTGCGACCTTCAGGCTGAAAGGCCAATGCTCTACCAACTGATCTACTGTTGTCTTTTCCAGCAATATTACTTTTTAAAATTTGTTTTCATATATGCAGATCATATATATTGACTCAGGTTGCATATCTGGCAACCTGAGTCAGGGAGAGTTGGAGAGGCTGCAGTACCACTTTGGGAGCTGTCAAAATGATTGCTCTGGGAGTGTACTCCAACCTCACAGCATTCTCCATTACTCACCTAGAACATGAATACCCATAATGCAACAGTGATAATGGCTTGAGCTGAAAATAATCTGTTTCCTCTAACATTCTGAGCCAGTCCACTTCCCGCTCCTCTAATATTCTGAGCCAGTCCACTTCCTGCTCCTCTGCTGCAGGTTTGACCTTTGCTTTTATCGTCGCCGCTTTAAAACAACACACTTTGAATCTCAGAGAAACACACATCTCTGAGATTCATGGAGCGTGCGGACGAGCAACAACACAACACACTCTGAACTTTCACGCATCATAAACATCTCACTGTTCGACCTGAGACTAGAGCAGAGCAGATGGGACGTCCCGCTCTGCTGCCGGAGCCCGAGGCCTCAGTCCAGGCTCCATCATCAGGACCGGTCCAGCGTGGAGCCAGACAGACGCACCAAGAACAGAGTCTGCACTGGTCCCCGTCAAGACCTCAAAAACAGATCTCTATTTGACTTTGTTTGTAAGAGACTGCAGCAGGTACAAAAAATTCAACACTTTCAGATTGTATTAAAGTGTTGTAGAGCTTTAAACTAATCAATAGGTCAATAAGTGAATCAAAAGATGTCATTAATGGTTTGAGAATCATAACGAGACCTTTTTTAGTGCGGCCACATGGTACTTTAGCAGTGAGATTAGCTTGACGCAGTGAGTTCTGGCGCCCGGACTTTCTGATTGGTTTCAAATATCTCTGAACTACTGTTATTAGATAAAGAAGTATTGGAAAAGAGCATGTTTTATTAATGCCTTTGGACAGATTAGGGCCCTTCAATGATGACTTCACATGAAAATCTTACATATCGCTACTTTAACTAGTAGTTTTGCCGTCGGTTGCAGACGTCATAACAGTCCAAATATACAAAGAACCTGGTGTTTATGCAAAGTAGTTGAAATGCTGATGTACCGGAGTTCCCCTCTCACCTCGGAGCACACAGCTCAAGAGCCTTATTTTTCCTTTTCTTTATCCTGCAGAAGCTGTCACGGTGCTCTTTGTTGCCATGGTGTCGGTACATTAGCCTCAGGAGCCATTAGCACAGGGCCTTTCCTGTCACACAGAGGCAGAAAGGCTTTACTTATGATTTCAATCTCTGGTTTATACACGTCCAGACTCGTTTAGCGTCATTATAAGTGTATCTTCTGACCAGATCGCTGCCCACTTCCTCACTGAGATAATTCCCTGATCGCCAACACAGAATCCATCAGAGAATCAAACTGTTCCATCCTGATCTTATCCATGTATAAACTCTGGTCCATGATCATTTCCTATGATATGTCTGGGTCTGTTATAGCCAGGCCTTAGCCATCCGTACAATCCGTAAGACTCAGAGAAGGGTCAGTCAAGCTGCATAGGGAGACAGTTTGCTGGGAGAAGTATGGTAACTTCAGCTATCCTCTCCTCCTTCCTACTTTATCTGTTTAGCATTATTAGGATTTTGACCATTGTCTGTTTCATGGTTCGACGACGGGACCTCTGAACATGGCCACCTCCATCTGCACCTGCGGACTGCCCTGCCCAACCCACCTGGGAGTGCTTTAGTCCTGCACCGGACCTGTCCACGTTCAACGGCTGCTGGTCCACAGTCTGTAGCTTAGGTCCTGGATCTATAGCCCGTCCGTCCGTTGGAGCAGATCCCTTTCTCAATTGTGGGAGTCAATTGTGGGAGTATTTCCTTGCCAATGCAGGAGGGTCTGTTGTCCAACAAAAAGGAAGTGGTGATGATCCAGGACACTTTAACATTCAACATGAATATATTTTTTTTTTAACACATGTTCTATATTCTTTCTGTGTCTTAACTGTTGATTCTCTGATCTGTGTTGGTGATTTCAATGGTTTTGTTAAGTCCTCTGAGATGACTTCTGTTGTGATATAGGGCTATACAAGAATAAATTGTACTGTATTATGTAAATTGTAATCTTAATTTCTTATCTTTTTTTTTATTTATATACCGCCTTTTCACTGCAGATCTGAGTCTCAAAGCGGTTTACAATTGTTAATTATGGGCATTTGTCTCTCACTCCACACAGAGATGGGAGCGGGGTCAGTACAGGAGGCGCATGCCAGACATGCCTATTGGACATATTTTTAGTGGTAGGGGAAACCGGAGTACCCGGAGGAAACCTACGCAGACACGGGGAGAACATGCAAACTCCACTCAGAAAGGCCCTGGTCCGACCGGGATTCGAACCCAGGACCTTCTTGCTGAGAGGCGAGAGTGCTTTCCACTTAGCCACCGTGCCGTAATTTCCTACATGTACGTCTGGGTCTGATCCTAGTGGCTGCAGCTTCCTCGGTTAAATCCACTCCGACCAATCAGACAGCAGGGGAGGCGGGTGTTGTAGGTTGGTGTCATTGACGTCAAGAGTTTGCGCCGAATTTTCTGATTGCCATTTCCTGGCGGAGAGTGCGATTGTAAAGTAATCTGTTCTTAGCCTGATTCTGGCCAGACCCTTGTAGTTCGCTGCGCTTCACACAAGGGTCTGGGTCTGTTTCATAGCATACAAACTTCAGAAGGCCGGGCCTTGTAAAATAGACCTTGTATGTGATTGGATAAACCACTTGTCATGTTATCTTAAATGACGTGTTCCTCCAACCACTCACATCAGAGCACACAATTCAGCACACTGCATTGCAGGGTTGCCAAATGCCGGAAATATTTTCCAGCCCATTTTTCTGGCGAAAGTAAGGCTGATCTGTTCTGGTTCAAATCCAGAAATGAAATGAGTATGATGGTATGGTAAGAGCAGGGTAAAACAGTTCCAACACAAGGGTTCTATTTCTACTCTTTTTAATCCACAGTGATAATTATTCATTTGAATGGCTTGTATATTTCTTTCTTTTTTGTCCAGCACTTTGAGTCACCTTATGTATGAATTGTGCTATACAGATAAACTTACCTCTTCTGAAGTGATTATTTGATATTCTCATGAACGTCCGAAATAATTTCCCACAATGTCAATCCGATCTCATCACCTTTTTCACGGTCAAAGACATAAAACAAAGTCACTTCCCCGCGGCTCTCCGCTGCTTCACCAACTCCGATAATGAGACACTTTACTGACAATCAACGCAGAATGTGGCAACCGCAGAGTTCGCTCAGAGCTGGAATGTGGGCGTTCCGAACATTCCACTTTCTTCAGGACTTCAACGTTAAAATTTTGAAGCAGTCATGGCAACTGGTTTTTGTAGACAGAAAGATAAAAGGTTACGAAATGTTTTTTTATTTGCATGGTCTGGTCCAGGACTCCCTTGAAAAGAGGTTTTAAATATCCAATCCACTTTATTAATATAGCACATTTACATCTAGGACTCAGACTGTAGATCCAAGACTCAGACTGCAGTTCCAGAACTCAGGCTGTAGATCCGGGACTCAGGCTGTAGACCCGGGACTCAGACTGCAGTTCCAACTCAGGCTGTAGATCTAGGACTCAGACTGTAGATCCAGGACTCAGACTGCAGTTCCAACTCAGGCTGTAGATCCGGGACTCAGGCTGTAGACCCGGGACTCAGACTGTAGATCTAGGACTCAGGCTGTAGATCTAGGACTCAGCCTGTAGTCCCAGGACTCAGACCGTAGTCCCAGGACATAGATTGTTGATCCAAGACTCAGACCGTAGTCCCAGGACTCTGACTGTTGATCCAGGACTCAGACCGTAGTCCCAGGACTCAGGCTGTTGATCCAAGACTCAGACCGTAGTCCCAGGACTCTGACTGTTGATCCAGGACTCAGACCGTAGTCCCAGGACTCTGACTGTTGATCCAGGACTCAGACCGTAGTCCCAGGACTCAGACTGTTGATCCAGGACTCAGACCGTAGTCCCAGGACTCTGACTGTTGATCCAGGACTCAGACCGTAGTCCCAGGACTCAGACTGTTGATCCAGGACTCAGACCGTAGTCCCAGGACTCTGACTGTTGATCCAGGACTCAGACCGTAGTCCCAGGACTCAGACTGTTGATCCAAGACTCAGACCGTAGTCCCAGGACTCTGACTGTTGATCCAGGACTCAGACCGTAGTCCCAGGACTCTGACTGTTGATCCAGGACTCAGACCGTAGTCCCAGGACTCAGACTGTTGATCCAGGACTCAGACCGTAGTCCCAGGACTCAGACTGTTGATCCAAGACTCAGACTGTAGTCCCAGGACTCTGACTGTTGATCCAGGACTCAGACCGTAGTCCCAGGACTCAGACTGTTGATCCAGGACTCAGACCGTAGTCCCAGGACTCAGACTGTTGATCCAGGACTCAGACCGTAGTCCCAGGACTCAGACTGTTGATCCAAGACTCAGACTGTATAATGAGGACTGAAGAGGCTCCCAGGTGTAGAAGCAAAACCAAACACGTGTCACCTCCCATTGATGTAATTGAAATAAGTGGTAAAAAGTGTCTCTAACCTGTTATTATCCGTGCAAAGTGCTTTTTATGAGCGGATTAGATTGGTAAAATTGGCGCCTGAAGGTAATAGTAGAAAATGATTTGAAAGGTTTGAACATCAACGATACAAAGTGTGAAGAAAAGGAGATATTATTTGAATTGCTACTTATCTCACACGCTGAAGGAGTCTCTTTTACAAGTTTTTGCTACTGTCTTTCTACCACCAAGAGGCAGGACAACAGCGCCATCTGCAGGCTAACTTCTTCATGTCAGAACCCCAGGTGTGCGAAAGTAGAGAAGACCCCTAGTCCCGGTTTACAGACCTGGAGCATCATTTGTGTATTTCTTTTGCTTATTTGTTTGATCCAGCATTTGTAGTAGTAGTTTGGCGGCACGGTCGCTTAATGGCATTCTGAATCCTGGTCAGAACAGGGCCTTTCTGAGTGGAGTTTGCATGTTCTCCGTGTGTCTGCGTAGGTTTCCTCCAGGTACCCTGGTTTCCCCTACCACTAAAAACATGTACAATAGGTCTGGCATGCGCCTCCTGTATTGGTGAACTGGCGCCCATCTCTGTGTGGAGTGAGAGACAAATACCCCCCCAAAAAAATTATAAAATTAATTGTAAACTGCTTTGTGACTCAGGTCTGAGAAATGCGCTATATAAATAAACCTTACTTACAACTCGGACACTAAAAATCACTAGAAAAAAAGTGAAAAAAATTACGACTGAAAGGGTTTGGACTGAAGTGACAATGGCATTAATCAGCACGGAGAAAACAATAGAAGATACATTCATATTTTTACAGAAAAGACGCATGTAGGTAAATGAGAGATTATACAAATTGTTCAGATGGATAAGAAAAGAACAACATTTAGATAAAATAATAATTATAAAGTCCGTGCGTGCATCCCAAGACTCATTCAATTCCACGCTCGAACGCGCGTCACCATTGACTTTTGCCGCAGCATGATCCGGTCTGAACGCCCCAATAGAAGCACCGTTGAACACATTTAGAAGCAGAATTGAACACATTTAGCTGCAGAGTTGAACACATTTAGAAGCAGAGTTGTCTGGTCTGGGG